GGAGTTATGCTTAACAAGTGATCACTAAATGATCCTCCATGAATCCATCTAAAGCAAGATGTAAGTCACTTCATAACAAGTACAAGAAGAATCATCAATGATCGATATATTCTAACTCAAATCCAATAAGGATTCAAACATTCCAATATCGATCACTAACTCATCCGCTTGTAGAGTTAGCATAGTCCACGACTAAATCACTTTTCAAGGAAAAGCCAAAGCTCAACCCCTACTAAATAATCTCATCTAAAACACAACTAACTCAAACTTGCCACTCAGCTCGTTTGAATGTCAATAAAGTTGCTAACTAGTAAATGCACGAATGCCAATAATACAAAGCGATAGCCAAATCATCAACACTATCTTCATCGAGACTAATGAAACCTGACATCAATCTTAAAGAGAGACATTTCATTTCATTTGATTCTCAACATTAATAATGTCAATGATAAGGCATCACTTCAATGCTATCGACACTAAAACAAGGTTAGAAGAAAGCAAGAGTGAATCACCACTCAAAACTCTCTAGTAACTAAGCTAACCAAAGTCGAAGATACTTTAGTCAGTATCTGAGATTAATCCTTCAGCAAAACTCAGTTACAGATAACACTTTCTTAAGGAGTGAATCACCACATCCAAGTCTCCATGAAATCCAACACTATAAACTAAACACAACCAAATGATATCAACAGAGGAATCGATATGCCAACATAGAAAAACTATGTAATGCTAACAATATGATCCTCCACAACACCATCCAGTAAAGTAAACCATCACTGCTAAATCATCATCAAGCGAAGCAAGTGTCAAACAGTCCTTGACAAAGTTTACAAGCAATCACTAGTTGTAAAGCAACCAACAATCACTCTTCAACTTGTCTTCATAAGACCCAAACACTAAACTTAAGTCATATACTTGGCCAACATAAACGTAATACCTTAGGTACAAAATAAAGGTTCATGGACAAGCATAAACTAAATGACCACTCAAATCCAATTCAACTTAAATAAGCTCACTAATACATTTAGCCAACAGCTCTGAGCATGCCTTGAAGAGGCTAGTTATGCATGATCAATACTCAGTCGAAACTAAAGTGAAAACCATAAGATGGACTCATATTAGTACACAACCTCCTCATAAACAAAGCTATAGTATAAGTACCAACATCTTAAACTCAAACAACTAAGTTGGATATCACCATCCTCAGTCAAGGTGTAGGGCTACCAAGACTAAGTCAAAATCTATAAGAGCTCACTACTTTCATAGAGTTTAATGAAATGCAAGGTGCAACTTGCCACCAAACACAATGCTATAAAAGAAAGGCTCAAAGGTCACCCTTCTTAGAAAAGCACATGGCCATTTTTTTACACCAACTCCAGGGTTTTTAAATTGAGGGCTTAGGCAATTGAGAAGTCTATCCAACTCAATTGCCTTAGCCCCAAAAATCAGCATCCCTTTCGAGTTGCATCATACAAACTACCTATTAAAGTTTAAGCCAACTGAAGTCAACTCTAACCCTTTCACTAGTTTGTACTAGCTTACGAAAACGAAATGGTTTTCAAGCAAAATGATCAACAGATCAGCCCCTTCTCCCACATTACTAGGGTTTCAGAGAGTTCACACAAAAGATTTTAAGCAACAATTGAGTGATGATAGATTGGTGTTGAGGGGCTTCCTCTTCAATAATAGCAAATCTTTGTTTAGAAAACTTATTGATGTTAGAATAATAGACTCATCATAAATATAAAAAAAGAGCAAAGAAGGGAAAGAAGCTTGAGAAAAATTGTCATCATCAACTATAAAACTCTTTAAATAATGAACAACCTCAAAGTCATATATAATCTAAAGTGAGCCTACTAACCAACTTAATTGTTCCACTTCAATAATGAAGTGAATACAGTATGATCACCATGTCCAAGAACTATGTAAGTATGTATAAAACTTATTAAAATCCCAAATTGCTACTTCTTTGTCATAGAGTAATCCACCTCTGCTAGTTGCAATATACAACTGATATACACTATAGGATGATATTGACTAGGCACACTCATTCTCTCTTGTATCAATAAGGGTTTTTGGGGTAATCAAAGATGCATATTTATGTATTCCATACACTCACAAAACTATAAAGGTTATATTTTTCTAAAATTATAATATATAACAACTATATTTTATAGTAAATAATATTCAGATAAACAAGAGAAACTAAACATTTTTGCAATCCAATAAACAATAAATTATTTTTTATTTTAGAAAATAATTATATTTATAGACAATAGTTTTGGTGTTCTTTGTTGTAAGAAATAATGCAAGCACTTCAAGCCAATAATGCTTCTACTAGAAATACTTGTAAAGTCTTTTCTACAATTAGAATAAAAAAATTTAAAACCTAAAATATTTTACTAGAGATACTATTAAAGTCTTAAAACATTATTTATTTTAGCAGAGATACTCAGATAATATTAAAAATTATAAATTAAGTAGTATAATTGCCAAAAACAAATATCCCTATATGAAAACTTTGCTGCATGCAGAAATGCTTGGTTGATTTATATACATACATATACATATACATATATATATACATATACATATACATATATATATACATATACATATATATATATAGATAGATACATACATACATACATACATACACATACACATACACATACATATACATATACATATACATACATATATATATAGATAGATAGATAGATATATACATACATACATACACATACACATACACATACACATACATATACATATACATATATATATATATATATATATATATATATATATATATATATATATATATATATATATATATATATATATATATATATATATACATATATATATATATATATATATATATATATATATATATATATATATATATAGACACACACACATATATATATTTTAAGGGATGGTGGATATACCTAGAATATTCTATATATGGGATTGTGAATATACCTGATACCTGATATTCAAGCCAATCTATATTTAGGTTAATCTTGTGGTATAACTTATAAATATAATTTTAAAGTTTTTTAATAAATTTTCTTGGGATTTATTCTTTCTTTATTATGTAGTGTTTCTTGTGGAGACCAAGGTTCCTGTTGAGATGATGATGCTAGCACCATCTACCTCATTCACAACTACCACTATTGTAATTCCCTACTTTAGGGTTCTTTGATGATGTTCCAATCATGTATCACTGTAGTTTCCCTGCTACATTGTCAATTGATTAAGAGTGATCCAAAGAATTTTATGTGTTGGCATTGTTCTGCAGATCTGCATAGCTCATGGTAGCAATTATAAACTCATGGATCTCATTCCCCTCTCTCAGGGATTTCGAGTTAAGTGGAAAGAACCAGGGAACCCTAATGAATGGCAAAATCAAATATATATATTTGCAAGTTGGATTTCTCCCTGAAGAACTTAGGATGCATTAGAGTTGATGCAGAAATCTTTCTCCATTTCTGAGTTGCCATGGTAAGAGTTTTGCTAAAATACCTTTCAACAGAGTATGCTATCCTGGCAGGCTGGCAGAATATGCTATGGAATGGGGTAGAACCCTAAACCATTTCCTTTTTCCATCACTTGTCTTGCTTGTGTTGTGTGGCATTTGGGCACAGGGGCAGTGTGGCAGCAGTGGCAGCCATAGGTGCTCTTCAGTTTTGGTGATGAATAAGCCCAATGGAGAATAGCCCTAGCCACAAATGCAAGCTCCAAGTGGGCCATTTTTGGTTAAGTACATTGACTAGGCCATTTCTGGTTACATTTGTCTGGGGTGTACATCCATCTGGTAACCTGGTATTAATCACGAATGCGCAATAAATCCAATTTTTCCTATGTCACCTCCTACAGTTTGGGTGTCCGGGGGTATCTGTATCATAATAATGCAATCTCAGCTAGCTCTCTCATTTGTTTTTGTCCAAAAAGTACAAAGATAGGCTTCTAAAAGAAAACAAGACTTGCACTGCCAATGTACTCAACTACATATCCAGGCTGCACATAAAACACTAGACTCTAAAGAAAGTGCTCAACCTAATCCCTTTCCATTGCCTCATGAATCTCACTATCCAGTTTGGTTGCCATCATCCCATCCTTTTTCTGTGGGGGAGCTAGACAATGGATCAATTGACACCATGAGATTTACCTGTGACTAGCCCCATATGTTGCTGTTGTGGGATCTGGAGTTTTGGCTGTGAGATACTCCTATGAGTGGGAGTCAGAACCGAGAGCATAAAACGATCATCCAATGCCCAATTGTGCACGGCCAGGAAGGTGACCGTACTCCTCTTGACCTTGGTGTTGGGCATTAGTTTGTTTTGGATGAGACCCAAAACTGCACTTTGTGTGTGTGTTCTTGCGATGCATGAGGAAGAGGCTATTGATCCTGGCATGGGTGGCTGTAAAGGGAGAGCACAACTTTACTGCTGCTCAGCTTTGCTCTGTCTATGGATGCGCTCTTGGTGAATACATTGGTGATGGATTATAGAGAGAAACTCTAGTTTTAGGATTTTTCCCATTGCTTCATACTTATCAATGTGAGAAAATCTAGCACCCGCTGCCATGAAGTCAAATAGCTATAACATGCTGTTCTGCTGTAGGATGGGCACCTAAGGCTGGACTTCTTCAGTGATATCATTATCCTTGTCAGATCTCATCTTCTTTTGGGCGATCCATAACTCAGGCACTGGATCAGCTTTGCCAAGACTGCCAGCTTGATTGGATCTCAGCAGAACCCATACCCTGTCGAGATGTCAGTCTTGATCAGCTGACGTGGCATGTCCACGTGGCATGTCCACATCGGAACTCAATGAACGAGCTCATGAGTGTTATGTCCATCCCTTTTTACACCACAACATGGTATCGGATTCCGGGGACGATCCTGGTTGGCTGATTTGACGTTGCTGTCATGGCCGCTTCAACACCACCACCACCTCCGCCGCCCCCACCACCACCGCCGCTGCCGCTGCCGCCGCCGCTGCCACCGGTTGCTGCTCAAGTTCTCGTGGCTTCCACCGAGAAGGTGGAGAAATTCAGTGGCACGAATTTCTTCACATGGGCGACAAGAATCAGGCTGATCCTCTCTGCGAAACGAGCGTGGAACATCGTTGATGGGACTGAGCCTCGTCCCGCTGAGCAGACGCTACAATCAGATTGGGATTTTTGCCATCACCGTCATTGGCTTGGGATTGAGCGATGAATTCTTGCCGCTGATTGATCTCACCAAGACCGCTGCTGAAATCTGGACGTCGCTTCGCACGATCTTCGTGGCCCAAGCCGCAAATTCTTCCATGCTGCTGAATCAACAATTCTTGGCGCTTCACATGGAAACGGGTGAAACCATTGCTGTGTACGTTGACGACTGCATTCTCGGTGCAAAAACCCGCCACCTGCTGGACGAGATGAAAAAGAAGCTGAGTGAAGAATTTGAGATGTCTGACCTGGGCGAGCTTCGCCATTTCCTTGGCATCCAAATTATACGCAATCGAGGAGCACGCACCTTGAGTTTGACACAAGCTCACTATGCAAGGGAGATCTTGGAACGCTTCAATATGCTGGACTGCTCTTCCGTGGCCACACCTCTTGAGGTCAATCACAAACTCAGCCGTGACATGGCCCCTGTCACAGAGGAAGAACGCGAGTACATGGCCACGGTGCCATATCGTCAAGCTGTGGGAAGTCTTGTTTATTTGATGCTGGGCACACGACCAGATCTCGCCTATGCTGTTGGGATGGTCTCCCAGTTCCTCGAGAACCCCGGACCTGGACATTGGCAAGCTGTGAAGCGGATTTTCCGCTACGTTCGAGGTACCTTGCATTTGCAGCTTCACTATGGCGCTGCTGTGTCACAGGAACTTCATGGGTACTCGGATGCGGACTGGGCGGGCGACCAGGACTCAAGGCGCTCTACCTCCGGGTATACGTTCTTGCTCCATGGGGCTGCTGTGTCCTGGAGCAGTAAGCGCCAGCCGCTGGTGGCTCTGTCCTCGACAGAGGCAGAGTACATTGCCCTAACCGCTGCCAGCAAAGAAGCGATTTGGTTGACCCAGTTCTGCCGTGACCTGCCCCAGATTCCTGCTTGCACCGGCCCTATGGTGCTGTTCTCGGACAACCAAAGTGCTCTTGCACTGGCCGCCAATCCGCGCTTCCATTCTCGGACGAAACACATCGAGATTCGTTTCCACTACGTGCGGGAACAAGTCCAAAATGGAAAGTTGTTGCTGGAATATTGCCCCACCGAGGCAATGGTGGCTGATATACTCACGAAGGCTTTGGCTCGAGACTCCTTTGAACGCCATCGCGCTGCACTGGGAGTCTGCTCTCCATCTGTTTCGGCTGAGTGGGAGGGGTAGTCCATCCTCTCAGCTGATCGAGCCAGAGTGGGAGTGTCGAGATGTCAGTCTCGATCAGCTGACGTGGCATGTCCACGTGGTCATGAGTCATGTCCCTTGAGTCATGTAAAAAGAGTCGGAACTCAATGAACGAGCTCATGAGTGTTATGTCCATCCCTTTTTACACCACAACATACCCCTCAGATCCAGTGGCTCGTGAGAGATGCTCGTAATCTCTTGGTAAATCATCCACTTTGTAAGTCTGAGTTCACCTTCCATCATGGACTTTAGCATCACCAAAGTGTGAGGAAATGCCATTCCAGCCATCAAAGCTTCTACTTTGGCTGCTTGTCCCAGAGATCGACCAGGTGCTATTTTGTAGTCTACACGTAGAGATCCAAATCTCTGGCAGGCCTTTCGCAAAGGATGAAATGTACAAGATTGACAAGATAGATTGTGTGTTTTTAAGGATGACTTAGTGGTTGATGAAACAGATTACCCTATTATGGTTCTGCTCGAGAGGTAAACTCCCCCTAGCTACCCCAATTATCCAAGCTCGAGTATTATGGTTAGACAAGCTACCCCAAGCTTGAAGCCATTAAGCATGTCTCATCTTCCTCGACAGATTTTGCTCAGATGCATGTATGGCAAAAGAGATACTGGGTTCGACCTCACTGGGGATCAAACCCAGAATCTCTGGTTCTGTAGACCAGCACCTAATCCATTGGGCCATGAGGTCATTTGAACATCAATCTTGTCCATTTACATGGTGTCCAACAGTTTCCAAACATCGTACCAAGCAGTGCATCAAGTTGGACCAGCACAAATTGCTTGGATCCTCCACAGCAATTTGGGGAAGATAATTACTTTTGAGGCAAGGCTTTCGGAAGTGTTCTCTCTCACACAAGAGTTTGAAATTGGCGGGAATTGGAGGATATTCCTGGTTCATGGTTAGGGTTTAGGGCTATGGCGTGCACCAAGCCTACGCTTGTGCTAGACATTGACAACACGCTAGTGTATGGAAGGGCGACCAAACGGCCGGGGCTGGATGAATTCCTGGCCAGAGTAAGCAAGCTCTACGAGATCGTCATCTTCACGTCCAGCAACCAGGAGCGCGCGGATCGGATCATCGACCACATTCTCAAAGTGAGCATCGCACGCCGGTTCTATTGCAATTCCTGCGTCCGGGGCACCAAGCCCCTGGTGATTCTGGGGCAGGATTTGACGAGAGTGGTGGCCATAGATGACAACCCACTGACGTTTGCGAGCAATGAGGAGAATGGCTTGGCGATCGTGCCTTTTTCGGAGTGGAGCATGGAGGAGGAAGAGCGCGAGAGGCATTTGATCAAGCTGCTGCCGCTGCTGGAAGGGATCGCGGGGCTGGAGGATTTGAGGCCGTCGCTCAAGCAGTGGAAGGAAGGAAAGTTCCAAGGAGATATAATTCCCTTGCTTGATGGAAACAACCACGACGTAAACAAAGACTACATAAATCGATCTTGTATCCCTTGACAACCACGATGTAAGAAAAACTACACACCTGCAATTATACTTTCTGGAGCTTACTTGAATCTCATATGCTCTTGTTAGATTTGCTATGCTTTTTTAATCTACTTAAGACAATGTAGTCAAAGAGCTAGTTGAGATTAAAACGTTTATGACTTTCACTGATCGTTCTTGATCTCCTAAAACAAGAGTACTTTCAGTAACATGTTCGAGTTTGATCGGATTCGTCAACTTAAACATTGTTATACTATTGTTTCTTTGAAATCGTGCAGTGCAAATAGGACATGACGTTTTGTCTGTGATGTACTTCTTCCACCCCGAGCGAAAAAACAAACAAGGCCTCTGTGAATGGAATCTACCATCAAGCTTCAAAGTTTCAGATTATAACTTGAAGGAGCATAGGCTAAGTTTTGAAGCTTCTGCAATTGCCCAGACCCAGACTGTCTGATTCTTTTTCTCTCATTCATGGAACTCACTGACTGGACCCCCACCCAAAAAACTGCACAGCTGCATTGCAAAGAGGAGAGTTTCTTGGGAGGAAGCCCAGAGGGTTTTTTTTGGGAAAATGGAAGACAATTACTGACATCCCCATGTGGTTGCATTGTGGCAGTCAAGTGAACAGGTACCCCACATGGGCCAACATGGCCTCTCTCTTTTTTTTCCACTTTTTATAAAACTTCAAAAAAACCAAAAGAGAAAAGGAAGAAATTTCTTTTTTGACAGGAGAAATGTTCCTGATGGTGATGTGTGGATGAATAGATGGCATTGCAGCAGGGATGATTGGAGCTCTGCACAGCTGATCCAAAGATCTTCTTGTTCCTCAGTAGTTATTAGTTGAGATGGATGGCGAGTCACTTTCTTGCTGCATGGAAACAGTTTTGAGATTATGCCCAGTTGATCATGGGGCCAAGAAAGTTTTCAAAGACAAATGTGCTAGAGGACAATTGTCAATGTAGCAAAATGGCATCAAAGATGGCTTGCAGTTGAACAGCTTGGTGTTACATGGGTGTCAGCGACTTGAAAAGAGGGAAGGCGGGACCTTGGATACTGTAGCATCATGTGCTGACACACATCCCCAAACCAAACACCCAAGAAGAAAACCAAATAAACTAGCTCAGCAAGTTTGACAAAATCTGTGGTTGTTTAGCCCAGTCTTATATAAGCCTCACACATTTGCAGCAGTCCCTTCATTCATTCATTCGTTTGTTTGTGGAGGAGCAGCCTCCCTGTAGCTAAAGCTAGTTTTAAACGAGTGACCTTTCCAGTTTCCATGGCCAGCCTTTCTGCCTCTTTCAAGATCTTCATGGCACTCTTGCTAAGCAGAGTAGTCCATGGTGGTGGCTATGGAAGTGGTTGGACTGATGCCCATGCGACCTTTTATGGTGGATCCAATGCAGCAGGCACAATGGGTAAAAATCTTCAAATCCTTTCCCTCCAACATTTTAACATATTGGGTTTCTATTTGTTCCAGGTGGTGCCTGTGGCTATGGAAACTTGGTGAGTGCTGGATATGGCACCAACACAGCAGCATTGAGCACTGCTCTGTTTCAAGATGGGCTGAGCTGCGGAGCCTGCTTTGAAGTCAAGTGTGCAAGTGGCAGTGATCCCAAGTGGTGCCTCCCAGGCTCTGTGGTTGTCACAGCCACAAACTTCTGCCCTCCAAGTTCCCAACCCAGCAACGATGGGGGCTGGTGCAACTCCCCCCTCCAGCACTTTGACATGGCCCAGCCTGCATTTCTCAAGATTGCACAATACTCTGCTGGGATTGTCCCCATCTCCTACAGAAGGTAGAAATCCAGTCACCTCTGTTCCCATTTTGAGTATGTCGTCTGAACTTTGACACCCCATCCCCCTCACTGTCCGACATCTTGTCCCCTGTTCTTTCAGAGCGTTTCCTGGAGTTTTTCTGAGACCCACCTTCACTTTCTGTCTGAACTCGGGAGCTGCTCACGTTTGGTGTCCAGAAAGCTTTTCTACCTTACTGTTTCTCTTGCCAGTCTCTTTAGAGTTTAGATTCTTTCAAACTGACTTGACTTCATCCATCTTCCTCTCTCTTGGATCTCTTCTTTTTCCAAACTAAGAAAAGTTTCCTGGTTTTCTTGCAGAGTCTCTTGCTCTAGGAGTGGTGGCATCCGATTCACCATGAACGGCCACGCCTACTTCAACCTGGTGCTAATCACCAACGTTGGCGGTGCCGGGGACGTGCACGCCGTCTCCATCAAAGGCTCGGGCACCGACTGGATCCCCATGAGCCGCAACTGGGGCCAAAACTGGCAGAGCAACGCTCTCCTGGGCGGCCAGGCCCTCTCCTTCAAGGTCACAACCAGCGATGGCAAAACCACCATCGCCTACAACGTCGCCGGGGCAAACTGGGCGTATGGGCAGACGTTCGAGGGCGAGCAGTTCTAGTTTGCGGGTCAACTCTCGTGGTTCTCATGACATTGCGCGGCTCATGGAGTGGTTCTTTTGATTCTTTCGTAGTTTCTAAGATCAGGTGGGATAGGAAAGGTGGTAGAGTTCATGGCGAGGAGCGATTCTAGGGAGAGTTTCTCTTGACAACAGGATTGATGGGCGATTGAGTTTGCCATTGATTGGTTGGATTTCACAGCATGCAAGAGCTTTGCAAATGTGGAGCCTGCTGCTGCTAATGAGTTTTTAAAAGTTTAGGAGCAACGATCCGACGATTGAAGAAGATGGCCGTTTTGTACATATGAAAAAAATAAGCCCAGCTTGCGGAGGAATCTTAGAGGTGGTTTGCTTGAAAATTGCCCTCCTCAACGCACAAGCTCTTCAAAACTTGCAATAATCAAATTTGCACTTGAAAACAAGTTGTCAATGTAAATGCAGTGATCTTTTGAACTTCAAGCAAAGGTCTCTTTCCGATCTTACGTCCAAGAATAGAAAAACACTTGAAATCTTCCATATTCCTCACGGCCTTTCATCGTTTCAAACAGATCCCAAAGCCATGTGTAGTGTTCCTTTATGTTTCACACGACCCATGACCAGAAAAATCGCCACCCATTATTTTAAGGCCCATCGTGGGGCAACAAACAAGAACAACATGTGAGAAGCACAACCCGCTCCTCGATTTTAAAGCTGTCAGTTAGATACATTTGGACTGAAGCTCGCAAACTCTTAAGAAAGCTTTTCTCTTTTGGTTTCGATGCAGTGCACAAGAGCTTCATAACGCTCGCCTCGTTTCCTTTTATCTTCTATTTTTCCCCGTGACTCTTTGCAAACTCCCGACAGCGTGGTGGAGCTCGTCTGCTCGATTTGGACTTTGCAAACTGTTCCTCGAGCTTCTCTAGAATCTCTAAAATCTCTTCCAGCGGCGGGGAGGTTGGCCGTCGTTTCTTCATCTCATCCCCATCCTCAAATCTGCGCTAAAAACCCATCCTTTCTAGACCCTCTACGCTCTTCGTTTCCTCCATGAATGTAATGAAACTTTTACCTCCTCTTCCATCTTCCAGCATGTCTTTCATCTCTTCCATCTCTTTCCTTCCATCCCTGCAACACAGCCAGCCATAAGTACAGGACGAACCAGAAAAGCTCCAGAGAAAAACAACGTACTTTTCAATCAAACTGGGACCCTTCGAAGGTTTGTCCATACTGCCAGTCGGCGGGAGCCACGTCCATGGAGACCACGCTTTTGCCATCGCTCGTGGTGACTTTGAACGAGAGGCTCTGCCCCTGGAACTGGCCATTGCTCTGCCAGTTTTGTCCCCAGTTCCGGCTCATGTCTTGCCAACCGGTGCCGGAGCCTTTGATGGACACGGCGTGCACGTCGCCGGCTCCGCCAACGTTGCTGATGAGCACCAGATTGAAATACGTGTGGCCGTTCATTGTGAAGTGGATTCCTCCCTTCTTGACGCAGCTGACTCTGTTATCCACCAAACGAGAAAAAGTTATGAGCGGCTTTTAAAGGCTTTCGACTTTACCTTCTGTATTGGACGGGAACAATGCCTCCCCTGTAGATGCCAATTTGCTCCCACGCAGGCTGCGCCATGTCGAAGTGTTCCAGTGGAGGGTTGCACCATCCTCCGTTGTTGTTTGCGAGAGCGTAGTTTGGAGGGCAGAAGTTGGTTGCAGTGACAACAACGGAAGTCCCGGCAATGCACCATCTTGGATCGGCAGCACTGTCACACCGGATCTCAAAGCACGCACCACAGCTCAATCCAGAGTTGAACAAAGCAGTGCTCAGTGCGGCATTGTTGTTGCCGTATCCCTGGCTGTACAAATTACCATAACCACAAGCTCCACCTACAAACAAAAGAAGAGCATCACACATATATTATAACTCTTCACTGTAGAAAACTTCACGCATTACGTACCCATTGTCCCTGCTGCATCGCTTCCCCCATAGAAAGTTGCATGAGCGCTTGTCCACCCTTGTCCCTGAGCGAACTGGAACAGCGTACAGTGGAGAAGAAAACCAAGAGCAGCGAGAACTGGCGACCTGGAATACCATGAATTCATCATGTCGTTAGCCGACAGGGAAGAGAAAACAAGCTTTACAACAATCCTCTCTCACTCACATTGTGTCGAAAGAACCGCGAGAGAGAAGAGAGAGAAGAGCTAGCTTAGCTTCACCTTTGAGCTGTAAGAGTGTTCGTATAGCCATTGTCCTTAAATACAAAGAACAGATCCACAGTGAATTGATTGAGACCTGACACCAGATCAAATGGGTGGAGAGAGGTAGTTAGTCGACACCAAAGACCCAGTATAAGCAGCTACCAAACAATACCATGAAAACAGAACGAATCAATTCACTACGAAAAAAAAAGCCTGGAAAAGAATAACAAAAGCCACAGCAAGCAAACCAAAAGCCCAACAAGGAAAACACCACCGTCTTACTATTCCCTGCGACACCACAGCTTTAATGGCAAACGGTGGTAAAGTTCACGCAACCGGTGGTACCACGGTGGAGTATCATACAAATCCAGCGAGTTGTGCCTGAGGACCAAAAGAGATCACGCTCAGACAATGAAAGAAACGGCAAGATCGCAAGGATAAAATAGAGCTAAAACAAAACAAACCGGCGCAAACTGCCAACGATTGTCTAACTAATGAAGCGAATCTGATGGCAGTACCTTAAAGACACCCTCCACATGACTCTTCCTAACTCGCACGCAGCTGACGTCTTCTCCATGTGATCACCAGAATGTCTGTACTTTCGTGCTCCACTCTTTTTTTCTCTTCTTCTAGTAGCAGCATAATCGCCGATCCTGCCGTGTTGAATGGCCGACTGGTGTCTTGCGAGCGCTTTGCTTTGCAGACAAGCTTAGTGCCGCAGAGCTTTTGGCTCCGCTTAGCAGTGAAGCTCACTTCACTCCTCACGGAGCCAAAAGGACCACGGCACTAGTTCGTGCTCAGCTCAAGCGTTTCGCTCGCCAAGTTTGTTCATATGATCTGATCCATCAATGTAGCTAAGGAACGCAACAAAACAATCAGTAGATAACTTGAAACAGCCAGACACAGACCTGTTACGTTCACGCTTGAGACTTGTTCACGTTCAGTTCGTATATAAACAAGCCCTCCACGCAGTTTGTGCGTGCCAAGTTTCCCCCGTACCATATATAAGCACAGTACTCTCTCTTTTACGTGCAAACGCGCGGCTTTCTTTTGATCACTACAGGGAACGGTTTTGTCAGTCGATAAAATTAAAAAGTAGTGTGCGAGAAGCCATACCTCTCTTTCGAATCAAGAAGCATATCCCTTTGACTTTGACTGAATATTCGTTTAACAGTAGTCAAGTACAAAAAAGGATTGGTCCCTGGGATTTTACCGCAAAGCATCATCTCATCGCGGCGTTGCAAAATGATCGGATAGATATCACTTCGTTCGCATCTGATATCTCTTCCCAGGATTAAAAACGAGAGAGCGATTCGAGTATATAGAAAGGAAGAACCAGCCCCTGTAGCACTCCGTTAGACCGCCGAGAACTTAGCACGAGTTCATACTTACCACCGGTTTCCATTTTTTTTTTTACAAGATACGAGGAGGAAGGTAATCACTGCCGTCGATGCTGCTGCCAAGTTTGCTGGATCGTGGTCGACGGGTATGGCGGGGGCGGCGAGTTCGGAGGCCGAGGAGGAGATGGCGGTGGCATCGCTGGTAGCGGCGGGGGCGATGGTGGTGGCGACGTTGGTAGCGGCGCAAGCCTCTCTACGCCTCTTTTCACCATAAGGGTCCTACCGTTTTGGGGCTCTGCCGCTTCCTCCATAGCCACCTGGAGCTTATGGTCTTTCACCGGAGACACATCCATTCCTATCTCCATCTCCATCTCCATCTCTTCGTCCTCCTCGTCGTCCCTCCGGACGAGAAATCCAGGGAGCTGAAAGCTTGTGTTGCTACAAGCCCACAAGGAAACGTCAGCCATGCCTCGGGAGTGTGAAAGAGAAACGCTTGTGAGCCATACCTGCCGTACTCGTCCACAAGCATGTCACTGCCCATCTCACGCATGGGATCGTGGAATGCACGGTCGTGACGCTGGTACTGCCGCTGCGTGGTGTTGAGACCAGCTTCCATGCCGAGCCTGGCGATGGTGTCCTTGAGGAGAGTTTCTTTCATGATGTTCCTCTTCACCCACAAGTTCACCACCTGATGGAAACGACTCAAGCCACGGTGGAAAGAAAGCACACGAAGTTTACCTTCACACACTGCTGGCGATTTTCCGAGGGGCTGTTTGGAGGAGCGACGGCAGTCAGGAAACGAGCAAGACAGCCTTCCACGATAGAAGCATAATCCGGTCCACCTGGAGACCATCACGGAGTCAGAATCTTGTAAAACTCTGACAACAAACTTCCACCTTTGTGATGATGATACTGCGCCATGGAATCCACCAAGAACAACAAATCTACGCGCTTCTTGTGTTCGCGTTCCCTCTTAAGTTTGCGCATTATAGCATCCATGACCTGTTGGTAAAACCGTCCGTCAGCCATGGAACGTAAAACCAAGACCATACCTGTTTGGCGATTCCTTTGTTTGCGCAATCCATCGCAAAGAGCGTAGTTTTTTGAATGCTCTCTTTGGCTCGCGTGAGCGTTTCAAGCATCCCCTGGAAAGTCTCCAGCGCTATTCCTTTCTCCCTTTCCTTGAGTTTCTTAGCGTCGCTTCCATGCTTCTCTTTCTCGGCGGGACTTGTATTGTCCGGTGTAGGTTCCTTGAAAACAGGCGAGTCCGATTGCGTTTGCTGCTTTGATTCAGCCGCTGCTTTCAGAAACTTCATGGATGCCGACGCCGTTTCCTCTTTCAGGGCTAGGCGACGCTGCTTCAATTCTTTCGCAGCTTCGTAACTGTGAATTAGCAAAAACCAGTCAGAACAAGGGTTGTAGAATGTGACAAAAACTGTACTTACGCTTCACGAACTTTGTTTGAACCTCCACCGTCAAGAAGCCTCGAAACCGGAGTAGAGATTGCCTCCAACGCATTATTCAGGGCCTCGGGCTCCACATGAAGAGTCTTCAGGGGCTTTTTAGCATCTTCCACCTCAGGTCTTTTGCCGTCGCTCGATTCTTTGGAAGTAGACACTTTCGCCTCCTTCTTTGAATCATTGGACTGGGACCTGAACAGGTTCGGCCGATCCTTGATCTTCACATCGTTCCACTTTTCCTTCTCCTTCTCCTTCAATCCTTCTTTCAGCTTCTCCTTCTTTCCTTCTTTCAGCGTCTCCTTTTTCCCTTCTTTCAGCTGCTCCTTCAAAATGTCCTGCTTCTCCGTCGTCTCCTTCGAGGCCTTGTTCTTCTTCGCCTGCTTTGTATCCTTAATGTCAGCATCACTCGATCTCTTCTTTTCGACCTTTTTCTTTTCGCTGTCCTGAGTTCTTTTACGCTCGCTCGATAAACCATTTGCATCGCCCGACTCCTTCTTTGAGCCATCGGACTGACACTTTAACAGCTTCTTGGTCTGCTTCACGTTTTTCAGCTTCCCTTCCTTTGACTGCTCCTTGGAAGTGCTCTGTTTTTCTTCCCTTAGCTTCTCTTTCAGGTTGCGCTGCTTTCCTTCCTTCGGTTTCTTCGCGACTTTGCCCTCCTGCGCCAGCTTTGTATCCTCACCATCATCCGGCCTCGGCCTCTTGAGTTTTTTCTTCTCAGCATCTATGGCCTCCTTCTTCTCACTGTCCTCGTTCCCACCCGAAGCCTCACCATCTACCTTCTTCTTCCTTCTCTCGAACACCTTCATTGGCTTTTTCCTCCTCTCAAACGTCCGCAAGATCTTTGGCTTGGTCGGGTCACCTGCAGCCTCCATCGACATTTCCTCCTGGCTCCCAGCGATTTCTAGATCGTCCTGAAGCTTCTCGTCAAGCTTCTTCTCTTCCTCACTTCCATCGTCCTGGAGCTTTTTCTCTCCCTCATTTCGATCATCCTCGATCTTCTTCTCTTGCTCGTCCTGGATCTTTTTCTCTCTCTCACTTCGATCATCCTCGACCTTCTCCTCTTCCTCCTGGATCTTTTTCTCTCCCTCATCCTCGAGCTTCTTCTCTTCCTGGATCTTTTTCTCCCTCTCATCCTCGAGCTTCTTCTCTTCCTCACTTCCATCGTCCTGGATGTTTTTCTCTCCCTCATTCAAATCATCCTCGACCTTCTTCTCTCCATGAAGCCTCCTTTCTCCCTCCTTTTGATCAATTCCAGGACCATCTACCCTCCTCACTACCTCGACATTCTTGTCCTCCTCAGCGTCACTGGCACCAGGAGCTACCGAGGCGCGCTCCAAATCAAGCTGCTCATCCTTGCGAACATCATCCCTCCTAGAATCTAGCCCTACACCTTCTTCTTCCACCCGAGAACTAGGATCCTCCCGAGAATCAGCTAGAAACTCACAATTGCGATCGCGATCCGCGTGAGGACGCGCCGAGGCCTCCGTCTTGAGCTCCGCCATCGCTCCGCGAAGCCCTAACCCTATTCCACGCGCAACGGCTGGGATCTATTCAAGAATCATGACAGGAATATACCCTTCCTGCCCACTGCATGTAATGCTTGCATGGGAAACGATGAGGCGCTCGAGGGCGTATTTTTAAGGGCCATCGATCGGCCATTCCATCCAAGCAGCGCCTCCGTCTTCCTCTCCCAGGGTAAGCATTCTTTCTTGCGATCTTGGCCAGGATTCTTGCATCGATCGAGCTATCCTCTTTGATCGCGATGATTCGTGGTTCCCTTCTCGATTTTGGACGACATTTCGTGGATTTTCTTGTGTTCTTGTTCGTTCGTCGATAGTTTTCTCTAAAATCTCTCTACAGATTCACACAATGGCTCGAAAATCGCTGATCCTGTGCGCGCTAGCCCTGCTTATCGTCTCATCCAGCGCGAGTGAACACGATCGCCATGAGCGCCACGACCGTGGCGACGAAGAAGGCGACCATCACAAGCAAGCGACCAGTCCTTTCGTGCTCAAGGAACCCGTACAGGTGGTGAGTACGGAAGCCGGGGATATCCAAGTTCTTCCCGGTCCCAAAGAGCTGGGAGCCCTTGCAGAGAACCACATTGGTCTCAGCATCATCACCATCGAGCCCAAGGGCCTTTTGCTTCCACAGTACCTCGATGCCTCTTGCGTGCTTTACGTCCACAAAGGTAAGCTAAGCTTCTCTCTTCTCTCTTTTGGATTTCGATTTGTTTCCTCTAAATCCTTTCTATCAATCCAGGACGAATGACTTTGGGATGGGCCGAGCAAGACTACCTTAACCGGCAGGACTTAGAGACTGGAGATATCTACGCTCTCCCGGGTGGTTTCGTGTTCTACGTCCTCAACACCGACGAGGGACAGAGGCTGCGTCTGTATGGGATGTGTGACACATCCGAGAGCCTCGATGCTGGACACTTCCAATCGTTTTTCGTTGGTGGTGGAGTTGATCCTCGAACGATTCTCTCGGGATTTCGTAAGGAGGCCGTCGCTGCTGCTTTGAAGGTAAGCATATCAACTTTTGCTCGTTCCTTCTCTTACATGAATGAATACCTTTGATTCTTGTAGGTGGCTCCCGAGGATGTTTCAGAGATCCTGGGCTCCCAAACCGAAGGTCCCATTGTCTACACATCACGGGCTGGATATGATTTCTTGAAGGGAGACTCGGCCGCTTCAAATGCTCGTGGTGACGCGCCTAAGCCGTTCAACTTGCTCAAGAAAGCTCCCGACTTTAAGAACGAGAACGGCTGGACGATCGCTGTCCATGGCGCGGAATTCAGTCCCTTGAAAGAGGCGGACGTCGGAGTTTTCGCAGTCAGCTTGAAGCCAGTAAGTTCCAACATCTGTGATCTCTATTGCCAGGAAACTAAACTTCGTGGTTTTGCCAGGGAGCTATGCTCGCACCGCACTGGAATCCCAGAGCTGCCGAGGTAGCCTTCATCACCAAGGGCAACGGAAGGATCCAAGTCTCATACCCGAATGGAACCAACGCGCTCGACAAGGAACTGGACGAGAGCAAGGTGGTGTTCGTCCCTCGCTACTTCCCGATGTGCCAAATCGCTTCCCGGAATGGTGATTTCGAGTTCGTTGGATTCAGCACATCGTCTCGGCGGAACCGTCCACAGTTCTTGGCAGGTCTGATAGTGTTTCACGTAGTTCTTGGCCTCAAAAGATCGTTCTTATCTTTCGCAGGATCCAACTCCGTGTTTAAGGCTTTCAGCAAGGACATCATGTCCAAGACTTTCAACGTCGACGCAAAGCGCTTGGAAGCCGTGCTCGATAACCAGCGCGACGCGGTGATCCTGCCTGGTTTCATCGAGGAAGATGGCAAGCGGAGCTCTGCAATGTAAAAAGTTTTGTGTGAATCAATCAAAGTGAGAACTTTTCCAAGCCTTTTTTGCGCGTCCCTTGTGAGATCAGTAGAGACCGCGTTTGACGTGATGAACCAAGTGTGATCGATCGCAATCACACGGAATTTTCACAACTTGAGAGAGCGCTGTAGTTCTGACCATTGAGCTACACGCAAGTGACGTCTTCGTTTTGTTCGCGTTTTTTAGTTCGTTGTCTCAGGTTCTTCATATAACTCTCGAGTTTTGTAATGGAGTTTCATAGTTTCTTTGTCATGTTTCTTTCCGATCCATCATGGTTCTCTTCGTGGTTCTCACGATTGTTGCGGGATTGCTCGTCTGTCCATGGTACATTCGCCGGAGGCTCCGCTACCTCTATCACTACTACTTTGGCGATGGCGATAGCGAAGACATCATAACGATCAGGAGAAGTGATCTCTTCAAGCTCGTCCACGAGGAAAAACGCTCATGGTCCAATGTAGCTTCGATTGTTTTGCTCTTGCTAGTGGCCTCTCTTCTCGGAGAGTATTGTTATTCCTGGATTGTTGGAGAACGTTTGCATCGGAGGGAGCTGCTGCTGCTGGCACTCTTTTCGTTGGTGCTGCTGCTCTGGATCCAGGATTCGGACATTGTCAAGGATCTGGGAAACTTTCTCGATCTGGCTTGTAAAATTCTAGACACTGTTGGTCGATTCTGGCCGGCGTAGTAATTCGAAACAGTTGATACGTTCCAATTTCGGCTGACAGGAAAAGAATGTAAAAGGACAACCAAACTTACAGAAACAAAGCTTTACCGACTTTTTAAAGAGTCTCCAGCAACTTGCCTCGGCTTCAGGGCCAGAGTGATGCGTCGGCGTGATGGCAATACAAGAATATGTCAGAGCTCCGTCAGTCAAAACTACAGCTTTGGAAGGAAACCTGAATGCAGAGCTTGGAATAAGTAAGACATGAATGAAGGTACCTCTCCGTCTCCGTTAACTCCCATGGTGCTACTGATGATTGTTCTTGGTTTCTTGATCTTTCGATGGTACGTCGAGAGCTAGGAAAAAGAAGAAAAGAAATAGTTGGTTGATGAATCCTGTTGGCGCTTATTCTTCTTGTTCAATACTTAAATCGTGACTCACAGTCAGAATCAAGCGAGACTGAATTCTATCGCTGCTAGTATTGGTTTTGTTGCTGCTTTGGCTCAGGGACAAAGACGCTTTCGAACTGCTTGGTAACCTTGTCGAAGGAATAAGTGACATGGTAGAAGCGTTTGCCAAATTGTTCTAGCTGCGAACAAGCAAAATCGTGAGCACCCGGTAAAACATTTGATTCAGAGCGCATACCATAATCCAAAGTCCGATTCTCTCTTAAAGTTGAATGGGCCATACTTTCAGTTTCTAGTTAGGTAGATAACCAGATAATGGCGCAGAAGGTTTAGGAATAGATTTGATGTCCACTTCTCGTACCTCGCCAGGTGCAAAACTAAGCTGGCTGTGCCTGTATAATTGAAAACTTGAAAACGATTCTACACAAGAAGAAAGAAGTCACCTGCGAAGATCCAAGCCATATAGACCAGCTTGAAGAACAGAGAGATTGTCGGAATCAGGCGAAACGATGACAATGCTATCACCAGCGTACTGCGTCTCAAGAATGGACATGAGCTGAGTGACGCGCACAAACACGTCAGCGACACTTTCGTTGGGAGTTCCATTTGTGTTTGGCGGAGGTCGTGATTGAAGCGACACGACGTCGGTCTCATAAACCTTGTGGAACCAGTATTGAAAAGTGGCTAAGAAAAAGCACTAGCTTACCTCGTTCACAGCATCCAGAGTTTTACCCTCGTATGCTCCGAGTCCTCGAGCGTCCAAAAAGCTATACTCTGGGACAATTCGACTGCAAAAAATAAAAAATAAAAGGAAAGAAGCGGTCACAAAACAAGAACAAGGAAGAACATAGGAAAAAGATATGCACCTACGTGATATGTCGTTGACATAGGCGATTAATTCCGCGGCTTGATAAGATCTCTGAGTGATAGAAGGCCAAATCCAGCAACTATCTTTGCATGCTCCCAAGTTCTTGAGCTTCACAGCAGCTTGCACTGCTTGCTTCTTTCCAGCTTCGGACAAGCCATTCTCTAGCGAAGTTTTAGAGACTGGATTGGTGTTAATAATTCCACTGGTCTCATACTCCGATTCTCCAGCTCGCACTAGAAAATATCTGATAAGAGGACAAAATTCGTAAAGAGAAGAAGAGATTTTCATCTAGTACTTGCCTGTTCTTTAATCTTGTGGGAGGCATTTGGAAAAGTCCACTGGCGAATGCCGGCGCAGAAAACGATGGCGATGTGAAGAAACGAACGTCCGCGGGCGGAGCGACAAAGACAAGCCCTGAAATCGCTAGCGCCGTAGCCAATCTCTGCGAGTACCGCTTAATCACTGCCAGATTCAAGAATTCATCCCTGTGCTGCGCGATATCGCGCCTTCGTGGACATCCGACGCCACAGCACCGCGCCATCGCCATCGCCATAGCCATTTGGGAAGAACCCTAGCTAGATTATTAGCAATGGGCGGGCTATTCAAATCAAACCACTGAGATACTGCCACCTCGCTTGGGTTTTAGAATTATTGTGCCTGGCAGCCAGAGAGCTATTGGGAGATCCTTCAATGTTGGAGCCCACTCGCGCTAGCGCGGGATTGGAAGATCGATTCAAGACCCTAATCGCTGCCAGGTAGAGAGTTGATGAATCGATCGTCTTTTTTATCCCGCTTGGCTTGGCGCAGATCAACTTGGACAAGAAATTTCTTCTCTTAAAGGCTTGACAGGGACCCCAATATCAGGCATTGAATCGAGGAAATGCTATCACTGTATGCCGTGCCTAGTACACTACATGTGATCCGCAATGGAAGAGCCTCGCGATCTTTGGTCGCAGCGTCGATCCACTGGCGCCCATGGGCAAGCTTTGGTTTTAACTCCACAAGCTCACAAGCTAAAGCTACTGGCAAGTTATAACGTTTTTTTGTCATATGAGCTTTGTCCATGATGTAACGATTCATTTGCTTCTTTTATGCAGGTGGATTGATGGTCTCTGTCCATAACACCGCTTTAAGAGAGGCTCGCCAAGAGGGATCTAGAGAAGGAGCACCACCATGCAGAAGCTTTTGGCTCTGAGCTTGGTCATCCTTCTCGCTGCCGCAGAAACGTCACACGCGAAATACAGAAATGGTGGTCGTGGTGGTCGTGGTGGCCGCGGTGCAAAGGCGATCTTTATCTTTGGTGACTCGCTGGTGGATTCCGGGAACAACAACTACCTGAATTCTCTGGCGAAGGCAAACTTTGCTCCCAATGGCGAGGACTGGCCAAATCATCTCGGGACTGGGAGATTTTGCAATGGCCGGCTAGTGGCAGACTACATAAGTAAGCGTTTTCTGATGCTCTCCGGATCCGAATGACCTTTTTGCAGGTGAATACATGGGGACCGAGCCAGTGCTGCCTATTCTAGATCCAAAGAACACTGGAAGGAACCTTCTCAGGGGAGCAAACTTTGCTTCTGCAGGCTCCGGGATTCTGGATGATACAGGAGCGATGTTTGTAAGTTAAAATGCGTCCACGGCTCAAGGATGTGATGGAGACTCTTCTTTCCAGGTTCAACGCTTGCGAGTTTCTGAGCAATACAACTTGTTCAGGCGGTACAAGGGCCAATTAGCGACGTTCGTAGGAGGACGAGCAGCAGATAGGATTGTGGCAGCCGGCCTGTACTCTTTCACAATTGGAGGAAACGACTACATCAACAATTATCTTCAGGCTCTTTCGGCCAGAGCAAGGCAGTACACACCCCCGCAGTACAACACTCTCCTCGTCTCAACTTTCAAGCAACAACTCAAGGCAAGCTCCACTCGAGTTTCTAGCCGGAAGTGATGAATTGAAACAACAGGATCTGTACAACATGGGAGCTCGCAAGATATCTGTCGGCAACATGGGTCCAATAGGCTGCATCCCCTCTCAAATAACTCAGAGAGGTGTCAACGGACAATGCGTCCAGAACCTGAACGAGTACGCGAGGGACTACAACTCCAAATTGAAACCAATGCTTGACGAACTCAACAGAGAACTGAGAGGAGCTCTCTTTGTATATGTCAACGCATACGACATTCTTTCAGACTTGGTCTCCAATCCAGGCAAAAACGGTATGTATCAGGACCTTTCGTTTTTCGTTTTTCGTTTTTCTTTTCCTGTTTTGAAGTTTTGCTCACACGCTCAAGCTGGACCCAGGCTTTACAGTATCCAACTCAGCGTGCTGTGGTCAAGGCAACTACAATGGCCTCTTTATCTGCACTGCGTTCTCTACCATCTGCAACGACCGAACCAAGTACGTATTTTGGGATCCTTACCATCCCACCGAAAAGGCAAACATTCTCATTGCTCAGCAAACTCTGTTTGGTGGTACTAATGTCATAAGCCCGATGAATCTCAGGCAGCTACTAGCTCTTCCATGACGCAACCAAACTCGGTTTGCTCGGTGTATTTAATAATCTTCACGTGAATTCAAGGCCTTGAGTTAGTTCCGGGTGAACAATGACGGTGGTTGGTCACGTATGCCAAATGACGATGGCAGCGAGAAAGCTGGAAGTGGTGGTGGTGGGATGGAGCCTGGTAAATGCTCTTGGTTTGTTCTCTTTTTCCTTCAGAGCCGTTTCAAGCCTATAAGGCTCGGTTTCGAGGAGCAGCTTGCACTTCCTATTCTCTCCATTTTGCTGCAGACGTACGTACGATGCGGTAGCTTCGAAGCTGGCTGTGGGTTGAACCTTTCGCATCGAGAGGTACGAAAGTCATATATCGGTTTGCATTCAAGCTGGATTGCTAAGTGTTGTCTAACAGGGCAGCGAAGGACAATGGAAGCGTTCCAGCTCCTTGTTCTCTTGACTTTTCTCATCTCCGTAGCGGCAGCTGGATCGGCAAGCAGGTCCAAAGCGAAGGCGATGTTCGTGTTTGGTGACTCGCTAGTTGATGCTGGCAACAACAACTTCATCAATTCTATCGCCCGAGCCAACTTCGCACCAAACGGCATCGACTTCCCGAACAGCGCGGCCACCGGCCGCTTCTGCAACGGGAAGATCATATCAGACCTGTTGAGTAAGTTGTCACTATAGAGGAGTTTCGTACCTATGATCTCGAGTTTCAGGTGATTACATGGGGACTCCGCCTATACTCCCAGTTTTGGATCCCCAGGCGAAGGGCCAGAATCTGCTGCTGGGTGTCAACTTCGCGTCGGCTGGAGCCGGGATCCTGGACGACACTGGAACCATCTTCGTGAGCTCTTCCGTTTCGACTTCTCAAATGAATTTTTTTTTTGTTTTCACGTTTGTCCTTCCTTGATCTCCAGATTCAACGCTTGACAATGACGGATCAATTCCGACTCTTCAGAAAATACAAAAGCGATCTGGCCGCTGTGGCCGGAGCGTCCGCAGCTGCGAAGTTAATCTCGGACGGGATTTACTCCTTCACAGTCGGTGGCAATGACTACATCAACAACTATTTACTCCTCTTTGCGCAGCGTGCTCGGCAGTACACCCCATCGCAGTTCAATGCGCTGTTGATTGCGACTCTGCGCAACCAGCTCAAGGTAAAGTCGCTGTTACCTTCCCACCTTTGCTTTTAATTCCCCACTCCCTTTCCTCGCTCGCCGGTTTTACAGACAGTGTACAGCCTCGGCGCTCGCAAAGTGACCGTGTCCAACATGGGACCGATTGGCTGTATCCCGTCGCAGCTCCAGAGAAGCTCCAGAGCCGGCGAGTGCATCCAGGAGCTCAATGACCACGCGCTGAGCTTCAATGCGGCGCTCAAACCCATGATCGAGGGCCTCAACCGGGAGCTCAAGGGAGCGACATTTGTCTACGTCAACAGCTACGACATCCTCAACGAGTACATCCAGAATCCATCCAAATACGGTACGTTGGTCTCTAAGTTTGTAAGCTTCTCTCAAGTTTCTCTCAAGTTCCTCTGTGAATATCTAAAGTTTTCACTGTGAAACTTGTCCATCTCTTCCAGGCTTCCAGTACACCAACATGGCGTGCTGCGGGCAAGGCAGCTACAACGGGCTCTTGACGTGCACTGGGCTGTCGAATCTGTGCTCGGACCGCACAAAGTACGTGTTCTGGGACGCGTTCCATCCCAGCGAGAGCATTAACAGGCTCATCACCAACAGGCTTCTCAATGGCCCGCCCTCCGACCTCTCGCCATTCAATGTCAAGCAGCTCATTGCGATGTCGACCTGAAAGTTAGGAGCAGCGCAAGAGAAAAGAAAACGATCGGGAGTGTTAAATTTTCGGTGTGTACGGCTTTTATGTACGGAATGTCAAAGGGATGTTTCCGTAACACTAAGAATTAAGGTCCGTACGAAAAACTAGAAGAATATCCTTACCCTCCAAATAGAATATTCTATGAGCCGAAACCGTACACTCGAACCCACATATTTTCGTACGGAATGTTTTATTTGTACGAAGTTTTTTACACCGAGAATATCGGTTGGCTTTCACAGTCAAGTCAACGTCGTTGACTTGTGACTCTAGTACGCTTCGGCTCCGTTGACTTGGGATTGCTCGTCTTCGTCGCCGTCTTGGGCGACCTCGGCGTAGTCCTTCTCCAGGGCCGCCACGTCCTCGCGGGCCTCCGAGAACTCGCCCTCCTCCATCCCCTCGCCGACGTACCAGTGAACAAACGCGCGCTTGGAGAACATGAGATCGAACTTGTGGTTTATGTGCGAGAAAACGTCCGCCACCGCGGTGTTGTTGCTGATCATACACACTGCGCGCTTCACTCTCGCCAGATCTCCGTTTGGAACCGCCGTCGGCGGCTGGTAGTTTATGCCACACTTGAATCCAGTCGGACACCTTGGAAGTAGTGAGCAAAAAAGTTAGATCGATTGAAAGCCAGCAAAAGCGAAGCTTTGGAGCCTTACCAGTCCACGAATTGAACCGAGCGCTTGGTCCTTATGTTTGACACCGCCTGCTGGACTTCTTTCGGCGTCAAGTCGCCGCGGTACATCATACAGCACGCCATGTACTTGCCGTGGCGAGGATCGCACTTGGCCATCATGGACGCCGGCTCGAAGACGGACGTGGTGATCTCGGAAACCGAGAGCTGCTCGTGGAAGGCCCTCTCGGCCGAGATGACCGGCGCGTAGGACGAGAGCATGAAGTGGATCCGCGGGAACGGGACTAAGTTGGTCTGGAACTCGGAGATGTCTACGTTGAGAGCGCCGTTGAATCGCAGCGAGGTCGTGAGCGAGGAGATGACTTGCGAGACGAGGCGGTTTAAGTTTGTGTAGCTCGGCCTCTCGATGTTCAAGGACTTTCGGCATATGTCGTAGATGGCCTCGTTGTCTAGAACCGCGACTACGTCTGAGTGCTCGAGTAGAGCGTGCGTTGCTAGAACGCTGTTGTATGGCTCCACAACAGCCGTGGAGATCTGCCAAGAACTTTTAGTTTTTGGTCACCTTGTAAGAAGGAACTTCTTACCTTGGGGGATGGATATATGGAAAACCCGAGCTTGGACTTCCGTCCATAGTCACAAGTCAGTCTCTCGAGCAAGAGCGCTCCCAAACCCGAGCCAGTTCCTCCTCCCACCGCATTGAAAACCAAAAATCCTTGCAACCCCGAGCAATTGTCTGCGAGCTTTCGTATCCTGTCTAGGCACTGCTCCAGAATCTCTCTTCCAACTGGAAAATGGAGAACACTATAACGTTAATCAACCATTAGCCATGGACTAGCTAGTACCAAAGTGTTAAAAGCTAGCTAGAACTATGTAAAAAATATAAACCATAGTGTTCTAGAGCAAATTATATACTGCTAGAGGCTTAGAAGAACACAACTATAGCTAGAAGAGGGAAAAGCCATAGTGTTCTAGAGCACTTCTATCACCACAATGGAGTTCTAAAGCTAGAACACAACTATAGCTGGAAGAGGGAAAAAGAATTTCTAGGAGCAATCGATCGATCACATACCTGTGTAGTGTCCTCGAGCGAAATTATTCGCTGCGTCCTCCTTCCCAGAGATGAGCTGATCGGGATGGAAGAGCTCCCTGTAGCTCCCAGTTCTTATCTCATCGATCACAGTAGGCTCCAAATCCACCATCACCGCCCTTGGGACGTGCTTCGTCGCGGACGCCGCCTCGCTGAAAAAGGTTCCAAACGATTCCTTGGTAGCTCCGGCCATGGCTTCCTGGTGATCGCTGGAAGAGAAGGAAGATTTCGAGGGGAACTTTGAGCAATCGGGGGATTAAGACACGCGCTTACTTGCGATCGATCGCCTTTCCATTGGGTTGAATGCCGTGCTCCAGGCAGAAGAGCTCCCAGCACGAATTCCCTAGCTGGATTCCTGCCTGCCCGACGTGTATGCTGATGATCTCTCTCATCTAGCGAGATTTCTCGGCTAGAATTTGTGACCTAGCGCTAGAACGAGCGCGATTTCTCCTTTGATCATTCTCACACAACGCGAGAAAAGCTACGCAATTGACGTGGACGAAATGGGCCAATCCTATTCATCCACGCCGCACACTCGCCACGTCACTCCTAGGGTTTTAGAGCTCACGAGCAATGCGCGCAATATTTGTTGTCTTGCGCCTTCTTGCTCCTCTCGCGATCGTCCACGGGTCCCATGGCGATGGATTGGCAGTGAAGGGATCGGCGCTGTGCGATGCTGCGATGTGGAAGACAGGGAAGGATTTGCCAGGGTTTGTGGTGCCGCTGGTGGATTCCTGGTGCAATGCGGTGGCGCAGGACGCCGTGAGACAGGCGCGAGTGGCACGGGAGGATCTCGCGAGCAGCATTGCGGAGAAAGGTTCGTGCTGGGATGGGCTGAAATATTGCGAGGAGAAGCGAAGGGATTGCCAGCAAGAGTGCGATCGAGAGAAAATAGCGCTGGAGCTGCGCTTCGTCTCCGCTCAAGAGAAATCACTGGCGAACGCCGCCTACTGGAAGCAAATGTGTGAGAAGAAGATCAGTATTGCGCAGTGTGAGTTGGAGAAGAAGGCCGCTGCTACTGTCAAGTGCCATGAAGATCGAAGCTTGGTGGAGCTCATGCCTGATCGATCGAGCTCTCGGGATGGACAGGTCGAATATCTGGACGATGCTCTAGCTTCATGCAGGTAAAGTACACCAGCAATGGATTCTTTCTCCTAATGCTGTGTAGTCCAGGCTCCAAAACGCGTATGCTAATGCAACCGTGGGAGAATATGTGAGAAGGCTCGAAGACCAAGTCTATCTTTTGTACAGGGTTCTTGCTGGTGGTGGGAGCTTCTTCATGGTTTTGATCGTTTTGTTAGTAGCGTTGCTCCTGCAAGGTAAGGAGTTTTTTCTTCTTTCGTGCATTTTCACCTTCACTTACGGAAACATTGTGCAGCGTGGAAAGGCGGAGAAAGAGAAAGGCCACCGGGCTCCACAAAGAACAAACTTCGGGTTCTTACTCCCGCTCAAGCACGTCAGCTGTTAATGTCAATGTCTGAGGGCGGCAATGGTTGCAGTAGAAGTATTCTCACGTCAGTGACTCCTGCTAAAGGTAAGTGTTTCGGTGTTTTATTACACACTAAGATTTTTTTGTTCTTTGCAGGTAGTGAAGAGTACTTTCTGCTGGTTCCCATGAACTGCTTCAGAAGTAGGACGTTTGCGCTCTTTGGATGTGGCGGTGATTTTTCTGGCGACGTTGAAGCGGCAAGAGATACTGGTGAGTGATACCGTTGTCTAATTATTTGATCATTCACTTTCTTTTCTTTATTTCCAGTGGCTGGTCAACCCCTATCTATCATACTTTACGATCACACGGGGCATGCATTTACGGAGACTGTTTTGGAAGATCTTCAAATGCAACCGCAGGACATTGCCGCAAGTGTTATTCCCAAGGACTCTGATTATCCGACCGGGCTAGACGTTGGAGTTCTATGGATAGACTCAACGAATGTCTTTCTGACCAACGCTGATGAAGATTCGATGTTAACCAACCATTTGGCAGAACAGGCTTGGATTAAATACCTGTGTAGATCTCGGTGACTTTGGTGAGGAAAGGATAACAGGAAGGGGCAAGAAGCAGGAAAGAATGGGTAGGCAGTTGCAGGAAACTTCAATGGTTTACGACAACACCAAAAAGCTCGAAGGCGACAGTGATAATGCATGGGCCTGAAAAATCTCGAATCGACTGGTCCAAAAGCTCCAAGCTTTCGAGCTCAACAATCTTGCTTGCGACTTTCATTTACAAGTCTCGAGGTTTACTTACATAAGAATGGTTTTGCCGGCGGCTTGTTTCTTGGGCATAAGATATGGGAACATGTTCTGTAGATTCTCGTGGAGAAAATTATGTCGAGTGAGCACCCCGATGATCGGCTCTTCCTGCAAGCACAGAGCCTTATAGAGCTTATACCAAAGGCTGAGAAAGCGGTATCTTACCTCTGGTTCACGGGGAACTACGCAAAGGTGTCGAAGTCCCAGGTCTCGGAACAACGTGTAGGCCTTGGCCAGTGATGCCGATTCAAGGACAGTATACGGTGATCCGTTTGTGATGTGTCTGACGTTGATGAACTCCAGCTCCTCCTCGGGACGTAAATCTATATCCTCGATCTTTAAAGACTTCCCTGTCGCTGGTTTTGCAAAGTCCGTGAACTGTAACATTTTCGAATTTTCTGCAGAGCCACTTGATGCGTAATGGAAGGCCTTGTTTTTCAGCAGTACCAGCAAGTGTGATCGCAGTACCAGGCCCAGGAAAACTTTCCTTCCAGTCGTGCTGGACTCTCCGATGACAGGAAAGGCGTTGTGCGTTGTGTTCCTCAGAACCATTAGTACCGTTGACACTTGCTCGACTGGCGACAGTGAAACCACGGACGTTGTTACCGCATCTTTGGCTGTAAGCTGCTGCATGAAAGGTTCGGGTTTTGCTTCCAGTATTGGATATCCTTTGATCCTGACGTACATTTCCCAGATGGCGGAGTTGAAGATGTCACCGACCGTTTTTGCAATAAGCAGTACCAGCATAATCATTGGTAGCATCAGCATGTTGTTCGTGAGCTCGAGAAGAATGACGCAAAGAGAAACTGTCATTCGCATGGTTCCTCCGAGGAATGCTGCAGCACCAAGAACAGCGAAGTAGCCCTCGTCCATTTTGTTGCCGGTCGTGGTGGTCATAATCATGCCAACCAGCCGGCCCAGTGAAGCTCCATTGATGATCAACGGTATAAACAGGCCGGATGGCACCGCAATCCCGTAAGTTATCAGGGAAAATATGAAGGATACGCCGAAGAAAACCAGAATGGACCTGTAGTGATACTCCCGGTACGTTTTAAAACTGAAGAGGTTTCTAACGGCGTCATCTTTGGTGGCGAAGAATAGGCCAGCGAGATCGTTATATTGGCCGGCAGGACAGTTGAAGCCTTTGAAGTTTCCTGTTTGTCCGTGGGTTGGACATTTATATCCTGGAATATCAGATAAATCGGGGCAGGGTCTGCACTTAACCAGAAATGGAAGCCAGAAGCAGCAGGCGGACGTGAGAATGGCCATCAAGCAGGCATGTATAACTTTGACGTATGGTGGCTTTCTGTGAATAACCCCGCGTTTGATTTCTCGCAGGAAAACTTGAAATGTTTCTTACCTGAGATACCAGTAGATGTAGCACTTGGTGACACGAGTGTTGAGCTTGTTAAAGACGCTGCCAAGGATTCCTCCGAGGACTCCCAAGATGACAACGGGGAACAAGTCGAGCAGTCCAAATTGGCCGTAAGCGTGGCTGATATCGAACATGATGAGACCGCCTTCTCCGAAAAGACCACAGATTCCCTGGGCACAGAATTGCTTGCCGAGCTGCAACATGACCGCGACAACGGCAGTTGTGAAGAAAGCTCTCCACAAAAGAGCACTCCGCCACCTACAGGTTTGAATCAGGAAAACAAAGCGGAGCGGAAGATACAACGTACCATGAAGTTACTTCCTCGAGTGCAAATAGAACTCCTCCAATCGGTGCTCGAAACGCCGCTGCAACTCCTCCGGCACAGCCACAGGTAACAAGATCTCGCCGGTCTCGATCGTTCTTGAAAACTCGCAGCCATCTCCAGTTCATATGATAGCGCAGGGAGCCACCTTGGCCGAGGAAATATGCTACGCAGGATCCGATATGGATAAGTGGCCCTTCCTTACCGAGATACAGTCCTGCCGAGACGACACAGATACTTCCAAGTAGCTACGCGACCACAGGTAATTATCTTCAGTGCCTGTTTTACCTCGGAGATCTATCTTTTTGCTTACCTTGACGACCATTGTAATTGGTTCCAGGATTCGTGGTGCATCAATCCCATTGAGATAAGCTTTGCTCTCTGGAACTCCAGATCCGGCTGCTGATGGAGCAAGATAAACAGTCATGGCTGCTCCCAGGAAGACCAGTCCTGTATTCAATGCGGTGAAAATGGCAAAGGCAGTCATGGTCCTAAAGAGAAAAACAGCACGGTTTGGAGGGGGGAAAAGATGGATCGCAAACGAAAAGAATTGGAGCCAGAGTTCGACCGAGTGACTCTACCTGCCAGAGGTCATGTAGCTCGACGCAACAAGCCATTTGGCTCCAGCTATGTTCTCGACGCTGAAGTTGATGATAAGTGCGGCGGCACCGATAATGAATCCGGTCAGGAACGCGAAGGCCCATTTGGTGACAATGTAGAGGAAGACTTCTTCCTTCTTTCGCGCTCGCCAGTCCTGTTTGAAGAGATCGTTCTCGATGATCCTGCGGGGGAATTGGGATCCAGGCAGATCAGGAACAGGAGGAAAAGGAACAGAGTAACTTACTCGTAGTCCAGGCTTTCGAAAAGCCTATCCGGTGTCTGGAAGACTGAGAGATGCGACACGCCTTTGTGGAAGATCTTGGATTTATCATCCTCGGATACGCCAAGCAGCGGCGCTACGAGATCAGGATTGGTCGGGGCCTCTTGATCCATGCAAGGAAAGAATTCACGAGCAGCGTACGGGAAGAGGAGCTACTTGACGAGATCGTCGGGAAAGAATTTGGCAGAAGAAGGACGAAGTGAAGCAGAGAAGGGGGGGGGCGGTGAACAAGCTGGAAACGACGAGGCTATGAATCCAGACTGGGCCAGATTTCCTCGGCCAGCGTAGACGACATGGCTTCTAGCACTGCAAGACAAGTAGTCGCGAGAGGTGGATGGACACCACACTAAAGGCGAGAAGAGGTAGCTTGCCTCTGGCTCCTACCAAAAGGGTGGCTTGGCCCTGTGATCGTGGAGAGAAGTAAGTTCCTCTTTTCTCTTCTCTGTAGGTGTTGGTTAAACTTTTCACTTCTCAGGGATGAGATCTTGGAATTATATAAGCTGCAGAGAATGCTGCAAGGTACTTTCAACTCTCTTTTTTTTTTCTCTCTCTCTTTTGGTTGGCTCTTCCAATTTTTGTTTTTGTATTTGATTTTTCGGTTTTGCTCCAGGCCAGCTATGGATGGTTGGAGAATCGAGCACGAAAGTCTGTGATAACGTTGTGCTGGGCTAGTGACAAACCACATGTTGGGGCGTACAGTGGTGAAAATGATTTCTCTCCTGTATGTTTACTATCTTTTGCTTGAGGTGCTTGCTTGCTCGCGCTGCTTGCTTGCATTGAATGATCTGGAAGACAAAAATATAAAGACTTTTTTATCGAACTTACAAGCTTCGGGGAAGATTAAATTTTTTTTTCATGAATGGTCCCTCATTCTCATACCAAGCCATTAGAACTACAATTACAACAAGTAAAAGTGCCAAAGACCTGAGGAATCTCTAAGCACGTGAAGTATCATCGTGTGATGATCATGAATTGAGAAAAGTAAGGCCACCATGAGGTCGCCTTGTGAATTTTAATCAAGATAGAAATGGTGCTCATTATTTGGAATATGCTTAAATAAGCCAATATGTCCAGAGATCTTGCCGTGTGACAATCCCCACATACTCGCAAGTTCTTCATGATCCTCAGCGGCGAAGAAACAATCGTCCTAGTCCATGGACCATCTTTGTATCCTGGACGGCATCTCTCCATCTCCCTCGCAAGCTTCTCCAGCTTTGCGTAAATCTCCGCGGCCCTGGAGCTTGAGCGGCGGCGCTGTGCCTTCCAGCCGCGGCGTAGATGTCGCACAGCACGACGTAGGCCCCTGGATTGTGAGCAGTAAGATCCAACACTTTCTCCGCAGCACGCTGGCCGCGGTCGCGAGATGGGCTCTACACTCCCGAGTAAAGTCACCCACAAGCTGGCCTGTGATATATAAACTCCTCGGCCTCGCCCAGTCGGCCAAGTAGGAGATCGATGGTGTGCGCCGAGCTTGGCTTCACGGGTCACGTAGTAGTCGCAGGCCCGAGCTGCTATTCCGGCATGGGCTGCAGGGCGAGAGAATGCTGATGTAGCTCACTTCACACCGCCCTGTATATGTTGCATTGGTAGAAGAGCTTGAGAGCTTCGAGACCCCGGCCACTGCAGGCGTACGCAGCTAGCATTGTGTTCCATGAGACAAGGTCCTTCTTTCTCAGCTTGTCGAAGAACGAACGAGCCAACACCTGCTTTATGCTGACGATGGTATTGGCCACTTGGCTTGTCGGTGTTGGAGGCCACTCTCTACGGCACGCGCAAGGAGATGCTTGCTCGCTGTCAAGCTCGCCAAGCTCCCACACACGTTGGGATGGTGACGAAGGTTATCTCTTTTGGAAGGGCCTGAGCACGTCGTTATGCTGGCCGTGCTGTGCGTAAGCTCCGATTCCACGAGACCAGGTCCTGGGTCCTGTAGAAATCGTCCAGATTCCTCGTACAGGCTTACAAGTGCATTTGCAACTGAGTCGTCATCCTCGATTCCTCGGAGCCTCTGCTCGACCACCAGTGAATGGACTTGTTTCTGTCAAACAATTTTGGAGCCTACAGCATTCATGTTAATTACAATTGCGTTGTTGAGTACGATGTCATCTGACTCTCCATGATACAGTCACGAACAAGCGTCCCTGAGGCAAAGCGTCGGGGGTGTCACAAAGACGCAGCGTGGGCATTTCCAGCGTAGAGATCTTTCAGGGCATGAACCAAGAGGGCCAAGCAATCGGGACTTTGGTCACCACGATCGCGGCATATATGATATATTGCCAACAGGATGCAGCTCGGAGGTATTCAGACTTTCAAGTAAACACCGAGCAGCGAGTTCCACACCAGAACTTCCCTGGGAGTAATCTTGTCAAGCAACTCCTCGCTGTCCACACTTCCCATACCTGTTGAGGAGAGCAGTGAGTTCTTCGATGCACCGGTCAAGAAACATCTCTTGCCCCAACTCCAAAAGAACTCGAGCAAGCGCCAGGAGAGTGATCTTGCTGGGCGCTACTTTCTCGACGCATCTCGCCAAAGAGCCGCAATGCCTCGTGTGAAAAGTGTAAAGATGACTATCGTCCACCCCACGACGGCCTATCGAAGGCTTTCCGCATGTCTTCCAAGTTCTGGCACCGTATGGCACCTGCTATACATGTGGAGAAGAGTGGCCAACATTGTGTTGGATTCATAGCCCTTCTCAAGGATGTAACCATGTAGAGCTCTTCCCTCTGCCAAGCGTCACCATCACCAGCAAGAGAGGTAGAGCGCTGGCGATGGAGAGGGCCTAACTCGTAAACACACAAAGCCATTGCCTGGTGAGAAGAGAAAAGGAGAGAAATCGTTGAAGCGTTAGTTGAGAGCGATCGAGTTATGCGGAAGCGGTCGTAATAGAAGCGCCCAGAAGCACCATTGAGACAATACTGACCCAGCTTTCAGGACATCGTGGAGCTTCTCCAGCCACCAATGCTGCTCAAAAACTTGTTCAAACTTTGGCACTTTTTCGCTAACTATGTGTTGTAGAAACATGGATCAGAGGACTATCCTCCAGGTATGAGACTTTTATGATCGAGTTTCTTTTCAGCGATGCTGGACGAATGGCACAAGCGTGTTCTATCACTAAACATCTGGAGCATTCACGGAGGACTTCGGAGCTACTTTTTTCTCTTTCTGGTCAACCGCGAGACCTCCTCTTTCGCATAGACTTCGATAGTTGTCCGCCCAAAATGGATTGAGTGGCGAACTTGACGATCAATTCCCTTAACAAGATCTTTGCTGATGTCGAACGCAAAACTGTGTAAATGCTCGCACCCCGGAACTATTGTGTACTTTGGTGTGGATTTGCCGCTTGAGCTAAAAAAGATTTATCTGCATTCCCCTCGACTCTCTTGAATCGATTCCCCCTTCCTCACGTATATGTTGAAGAGGTTCCTGCATTGCTCACCTCCACTCGTTTAAATTCTGACAAAAGGTACAGCCGTACCACTTCTTGGACCTTTGCAAATGGCAGCACCCGGATTTTGTCACACGTGATCTTCTATGGAATATAATCTCCCATAGAAACGTCAAAACGCAAAAGTATGGCAACCACAATTGAAAGGAACACAGCCAAGAGTGTGAGCTCTAGAAGCAACTACGACAGTATTGGGATCCAGCCCAATAACCATCAAATTCCAAAAATAACCATGAAGTTAATTTTTAAAATATTTTATTTTATACTAATAAATGTTTGTAAGGCACTTATCATGGAATCCATGTTATAGGTGGTGTTAAGTCAAATTTTTTACTTCATCCTTAATATGCCTTACCTGTTCCATCCCTTAAACTAAACAAGTGTCTTGGGCAGATTAAAAGTGCTTTCCAGCAATGCCTTAGAAAGGCAGAAAATACAAACCATTTGGCCAGCTGTGGAGCATATGCCATGGAAATGTCAAAAGGCAAAAGAGTGGGTTTTCTTGAGCATATTCTCACCTTTTATAAGAAAAAATATTTTTGCACATTTTTTTCTAATTACTTTTCAATATATAATTAGAAAATAAAAATATATAAAGTATATAAAATGGTATATATTAAATTTTAAAACATAGTGAATATTCTTAATTATACTATCCATCAAACCTACAATTATTGCCTGTTTTAGCCTTTAGCCTTGCAAGTTTTACCATTGTTTTGGTCCTCTATTGATTTCATGCATGCTACTGTTGATCTTTCATCATCTCCTGTTTTGCCTTGCAACATGATCTGGCTCATGTTACTGGAGATTGAAGAAAGGGTTTGTGATTTAATCACAAATCTACTTACTCACTGATGCATTTCGAAGTAGACAGCATTGACAAGCAGGATGCCAAACTGAAAAACAATATCAAGAAAACAGCAGCGCTGATCCATCTTGTTCTCACCATGGATTTTGTCACAGCAGTCACATACAAAACTAACCATGATTTGTTCTTTCTTGAAGCTGTGTTAAGAGTGGGATTCGAACCTTCATTTAACTTGTGTCAACTTTCACGTCATGTCATCATGACAAAATTTGTAACAGAAGGATAAAAAAACTTGGGTGTCATTGATCGCAAGCATGTTCTGAAACAATGATTCCTCGCAGAGGATAACTTTGAGAGAATCCTGGACTAAGATGGAGAGCTGGATACCTGTTCTCGATCATCGCTTTCCGGCAGGCAAAAGACGAGTAGAGCTCTTTAGGGGGATCTAAGCTTTGCGGAGCCGGAGACAAGCCGATTTACGTCTTGTAGTCCTCGCATGCCTTCGTGATACTTCCCTGGTACTGCCTTGGGTTGGACGCGTAGCTTGGAACTTCCCTTGCCTCATGCTTCACAAGCTCAGTGCCACTCCTGGATATGTACTCGTTTTTGGCTGATTTCTTCGTGTCCTCTGTCTTAGACGGGGTGGAGATGGTGCTGCTGTGCGCCACAAGCTCGGGCGAGTTGCAGCGCAGCTCGCTCACGTTGTCCTCAAGCAATATCATTGTTCTCCGTGGGACTTTTAGCAGCACAGGAGGAGCCACTTTCGAGCAACTGATTGATTGTGATCGCATGGTGATTTCTTTTTTGAAATCAAAACTTTGTTTCATACTGATCCAATGATTGCTTATGCTGTGATGCCTAGAACACCGTCTGGCTGCAAAAGTGTTGGACCAGAATCACCATAATCAAAGGCGAGGATAAGTTGCATAAAAGTCTTGGGGTTGTAATGGACAAAGCATGCCAGTATTTTTCCGTATCGTTCATCAGTCAGTTTCCTTTTTTAGGGTATGTTTGGAATTTTGTGGCATAACAGGATCGGTGGAAGCAACAAAAGGATGGGGACATAGTAGTAGCAGAAGTATAGATCAGATTAGATCAGAGAATAAAGATGGAAGGGAGAAAACTCAAGTTCCAAGCTTCATAACAATGCATTTCTTTGTTTTTCTATTCTAGAAGCCATGCTTTCCAAGAAGAAGCTGCTTGGAGTTCTAATTGGATAAGAACACATCCCCATTCTTCTCTCTCCAGAGGATGGAGCTCACATGACAGTGGAGCAGTGGCAAGCATACCAGAAGCGCCATAAAACAAGTCAGTGCCTTGAGAATATCTTCTGACTGAGGCATGGCAGATTCTTCAACAGCATTATTGTGAGCAGTCTTAGCGATGGAGATGAACATCTTTAGACAAATGGTCAATTGGCACGAAGGAGTAGAGGAAAAAGCTCAAGATTGCGAACATATATCACTACACAAGTCTCAACATCTTTGGGGAAAAAAAAGTGGTCATCTTGTGACCACTCTTTAGCATCGTTAGGATGTTCCAGGATCACTGTTCTTTAATATCTTTTTTT